ATGATGGTCGAACGATCCAAATCGTTCGACTCAGATCGACCCGAGAAAACGCGCCTTAAAGGCGCGTTTTCACGGGTCGATCTGAGTCGAACGATTTGGATCGTTCGACCATCATTCGATCTGTGCCGAAAGCAAAAAGGTTTACACGACAGACGATGAATGTTGAATTAATTGTAATTGATAGAAAAAAAAATCACAAATTTTATTAAAATTATCTATATTTTTTAAATGTTAATATGATTTGGTACATTGATTTGTAAATGTAATATTTTCGAAGTAAGATTTTACATTAATAAATAGTCTATTTATAAATGCACCCTTAAGATGGTATTTTCTTAGATAAAACTTTGAAAAGAATTAGGACCAAATTAAATGTATCAGTTATAATGAAACTGTTGACATGATCTACGGACAACACTTATTTTTATCTAAATAATGATTTCTATAAACAAAATTTTTGCACTGTGCTTTAAATCCATTATTAGCTAATATATTGATGGAAGACTTCAAAACAACCATTCCTAATTAAAATTTAAAGTCCACAATATGTAGATGATGTGTTGGAAACATTTCTGATTGATATAAATAAAAGGTAAAAGGTTGAGTCAATAAAATTTACAATGGAAAAGAAATAAAATAACTCCTTTTCTGGATGTTTTAATCTCAAAGTATAATAGTGGATATGGGACTAATGTATAAAAAAAACCAACACATATGAAAATTGCCTGTTCTAATGACAATTTGTTTTTGGAAAACAAAAATAATTATTTTCTAACATCTATTTTATTAAAAAATTATTATTCCAGTTTTTCGACATCGATTCGGCGGGAATCGCCTATCAAAAGTAGACCGTCTTTCGACTTCCGTCGAATCGACTCACTCCGCCGAACGACCAAGTCGATTTATGGTTTACATGTTCAATTTGCTTTCGATTTATTAGTCGACGGCCAGTCGATCCAAATCGTTCGACTCAGATCGACCCGTGAAAACGCGCCTTTAGAAAGACTTAAATTTTATAGCGACTATTGAGTGCATATTTATATTTAGGATACCTATATTTATTTATATTGTTTATTTTAATATTTATATCATTTTTATTTAAATATAAATAGATTAAATTGTATAATTTTCTTTTTCTTCTTCTTCCTCTTTATAAGCAATTCTGCTTATTTATTGGCGGATTAATACCTCTATGGAAGATTGTCACTCTATCTTCTGCGCAGTCGTCCGATACTTCTGCCGATTGGTGACTTTCTCTTTCTATTTTGTATACGAAGACACGAGTCTCCCCCAATCTGCTTATGTGGTTATTCCATTCTTTTTTTCTATTTACCTAGTGATCATTCGTTTATACACTGTACGTTAAATTTTCTTCTAATGCCTTCACTTTTTTTCGACCTCTCAGCGTATTTCCTGTAAATCTCAGTACTCTCATTTCTACCGATTCCAGTATCCTTTGTGTTGAGTCGGGTTGTGTCGGGTGTTGTTTCTAATGTATAAGTCACTATTGGTTTTACACTGACTTTATAAATTCTTGACTTCATGTAGGTGTTAATGTGTCTGTCTCGCCATAGCGAGTTATTAAGGCATCCTGCCAGTCTATTTGCTTTTTGTACTTGATCTCTCACTTCTTCGCCCAGGTCTCCACAGCTAGACTTTTTCATTTCATATTTTTACTTGTTCAATACTAATGTCATCAATTTCTATTTTACATCTGGTTGGTTCTTTGCTGATTACTTTTTGCATCCACTTTGTTGGTTAACGCTTTTGATGATTTTGTTCATCAATATATTGAAGGGCATAGGGCTCAATGGGTCCCCCTGTCTTATTCCGCTGCCTGTTTCTATGGGTTCTGTAAGTTGTCCATCTATTCTGACTTCCATTTTGTTGTTTTGGCACATGTTGTCAATAGTTTTTATAATATTTAGGGCAACTTCTCTATTATACAGAAGATTTATTACATCTTTGAGTCTTACTTCGTCAAATGCTTTCTTTAAGTCAATCAGACACAGAAATGCTGGTCTGTTATACTCTAGTGATTTCTCAGTAATTTGCTTTATAACGAATATTAGATCTATACACGCTCTTCCACTACGAAAACCCGGTTGTTCATCTACTAAACTTATCATCCAATTCATTAGTTCTTGTAAAATTTTAGATTTTTATAATCAAAGCACATAATTCAAGCACCTAAATATTTTATATTGGCAGATTATCGGATATGGAATTATTGGATAATCTTCCAATCAACAAGCAGAATTGCTTATAAAGAGGAAGAAGAAGAAATATTTTATAATAAATCAATCAATACAAATCTCAGATTTTTCCTGGTTTGCCTGTAATAATAAAGGGTGTCACTATGGAAAGTAAAAATGAATCAATGGATAACATAATAATACACTCGTAGACAAAACTATCGAATATTTTGGAATTTCCAAATTTTTGTTTTTTCAAAAAAAAATTTTGGTCAATCAAGTCGTTTATTGTGAAGAAGAGTTTATTTAATAATGTTTAATGAACCATTTTAAGTTTTTATGCGGAGAAAATTGAACAAAAAAAATGGTTAATGTTAGGTAAATAAGATTATTTTACTCTAAACTTAAATGCCAATTTAAATTGCTTAAACAAGTATAATTTACCTGAAACAAGTGCATGATCTGTAACGAGTATTTTCTCCTCTAGCTCTTATTACTGCTTGCATCCTTCTCGGCATACTTGCAAATAACTTTTGGACATATCCTTAGGAAATTGCATTCCATTCATCCTGTGCAGCAAGCCGAATCTGCTCTATCGTATTTGGAACACGATTTCTTTGTGGTATGCGGCATTTTAGATGATCCCACATGTACTCAATTGGATTTAAACCTGGACTAAAGGGTGGCTAATCCAACCTTCGAATTTAGACCTCATCAAGATAATTATTTACTACGGCAGCGGTATGTGGTCGAGCATTATCGTGCATTAACATGAATCTGTCATATCCAATCTAACCAACATATGTCAAAACGTGATCTTGCAGGATGTTTTGAACGTAAGAGTCACCAGTCATCTGTCAAATCACTTCCACAAGTCCGGTGCGTCCCTCCCAACTAATACCTTTCCAAAGCATTATGCCACCACCTTCAAAACTAACGGTCTGGTCGAGATTGTAGCTGGCGAATCGTTCCCGAACTCATTTGTAGACGTGGTTTCGACCATCTGTTTTCCATAATGGGATTCTGGTCTCATCAGTAAAAAGAACATTTTTTCAGTTGTCGATATTCCACTAAATATCTGCTCTTGCAAATTCTAAACGACAAGCTTTACGATTTTGGAGAAGAAGAGAAACTTTGGCAGGACGTCTAGGCTTTTAGTTTGCTTCGTTTAATCTTCGTCTAACTGTTGAACTCAATGAGCAATTTCGTGTAGAATTAGGAACCAAAAAACGGTCATCAATTGCAATTGTGCACCTTGGGCGTCCTTGATTAGGACTTCGTACAAAATTTCTTGTTTCGTGGTATCTTTTTAAAGTATTTAAAACTGTAGATTGACTTCTCCTGAGACGTCGTGCGATATCATTTTGTATATATCCTTCCTCGTACAAAATTACAATCTGTGCTGTTTGTGCTTAATCGCAGTGCTGAATTAGTGGCATACTTAATCAAAATATTATTTAACTAAGCTTAATAAATTAAACTAAAAATAACCGAATTAGTATGATTTTTCCCTTACATGAAGAAAATTATTTATGATAAAATGTACGAATGACACTAGACGCTGAATAAACGTCAAAATTTTCTAAACCAGTTAAGAACATCAGCTTTCTATATGAGTAACATCAGTAATCTAACATTATTTTGAAATGATAGTGACTACAAAAAAAATTGGAAAATCTTAAAATATTCGATATTTTTGTCTATGAGTGTATAATAATATAATATAGTATCAGTAATATTTCAAGATTTATTTTATGGGCCTGTGTCTTGAAAATAAATTACAAATTAAATATCTGTTTTGCCTTTACCAGAATTTACGTTAATAAAAATGAGTGATAGGAAAGCCAAAAAAAAGAAATTTTGGTATAGTATTTTAGTATAAGAGTTAAATTTTAATCATAATACGCGGCGAAGGGCCCCCGAAGAAGGCAAAGAATGCACATTCGGCCGGCAAAGTGATGGCGACTGTTTTCTGGAATGCGAATGGCATCATCCACAGCGACTACTTGGAAAAAGGAAAAAACAATCAATGGTGAGTACTACGCAGCATTATTGGATCATGAGCATGATTGCAGCATGAACTGGGCTATGAATTGGTTGAACACCCACCGTATTTATCATATCTTGCCGCCAACGGTTTTTTCCTGTTTCCAAATCTTAAAAAATGGCTCGGAGGACACAGGTTCGCCACAAATGATGAAGTCGTCTTTGAAATTTCGGCCTATTTTGAGCTCAAGCAAAAATACTATTACGATGGGATAAAAAAATTGGAACATCGTCTTACTAAGTGTATCGAGCTAAAAGGGGGCCATGTTGAGAAATAAATCGATTTAATTCCAAAAAACTTGTTTTTTTCTATCAGGGGCTAGTTTTATATCAATCCACTCTCGTACATAGTCTGCACATCAGTGCCAAGGATCCTTGGATGTAAAAAACGTAAGGAAAAATATATGGGAATGGACCCGAATATATACTCAGAAATAACAAGAACAACATAATAGTGTTCTAAAACTTGTGAGCTTGATGCATATTTTAAAAATAGCTTTGTACCTTAAAACCAAAAAGTCAAATATTTAAACCATTTCTATGTACTTTGTACTGTAAGTTATAAAAAAAACTATGATAACAAAACACTTAAGTAACATATGGTTAAGTAACATTTGTATTTATTGACTCTAAAATTGAGTCCCATGTACACAGCTTTGGCGCCGACTATGAGAGATCCTCCCTCTTGGCAATTTGGCGTATTGATTTCAGGAGGTCAATGACAAAATTCACATACAAAATTTATATAAAATTACTTACCTTAGAACCGGCGATGATAATGAATCCATTATTAATCAATTGCACATTAAACCGATCACTACAATGGATAATATTCCCAACTATAACTTGAACATTGTCAGTTCTCATTTTGTTTATTTATCTACTAAACTTTTCCGGTTAGCTATTTTTGTCAGCAGTTGGTGCCGCCTTTTCAATCACTCGCTGGCTTGGCTTACTGGCTAGGTGGCTGGCCCTGAATCGTCAATTCACTGCGATGTCACGTTGTCTGCTTCTGTTTTAGTTTATAAGCTAAAAGCTGAAAAAGGTTATATTTTTTAAATTGTATGTTATATCAGGAAATACAGCAAATATACACGCTTATAGTTATATGCATGAGTAATTATTTATCTTGAATGTTCAGTGGCGATACTGAAAATTTTTTTAGGGTTCCTGATTGCATAATATCTGCCTTAATATTGGAAGATATAATGCCCGTGATAATTATTTAATTATTTAATGATAATTAATCAATGTTTCGAAAGAACTGTAACATACTGGTTTGTTTCAAAGTACATTACCTCTACTCAGACTGCTTAATATATTTTTTTAAGAGAAAAATTGCCTGAAATGCGTTTTCATCACTTTCGTTTTGTAGATAGAAGGTTTGTAAGGTATCGAATAAGGATCTTGCTGCCTTACCTGACACCTCTGCCAAAGGTTCTGATGTATCGTACTCATCTTCATCGTTACTTTTTTCATTCGTATCTGTCGCAGATAAAATTTCGCCATCGGTTAGTGAACCTGAGAGAGCAACATCTTCATCCACTTAAACAAAGTCAGAAAAACTCACACTGCTGATGTCAATCAATGGTTCTATTACTGGTTCTTCATCATCCGTAAGCATTGGAAAGTTTTTCTGATCTCCTTTTAAAAACCCGGATTTTTTGAAGCAGTTGAGAGTTATTAGAGGTGTTACACCTCACCATGCTTTGTCAATCAGTAAAATAGCTGTCTGAACCGTGATATTTGCAGTTAGCTGCTTGTCGAGAGATTCTAAAACGAGCTTAACAATTTCTTTGCGATATAACGTCTTAAAATTATGGATGTAAACGTCTTATACGGTAAACATTTTGGAAAAATGGGTCAGTTTCATCAGTATTAAAAATATCTAGAGCTATATAGTTTTCAATCAAGGTCTTCAATTTACCGTGCCAATCTAAGCAAAATGCATCATTAACACTTCCACTTTCCCCACAAACGTTTCTCTTCTCTTCTCCACAAACACAACTCTATTTCTCTTTTTGAAATTTGTAAGCCACTCTTCACTTGCCGCAAAGCTTTTGTTGCTTACAGTAGACACGTACTCTTGTCCTTCAACAAGTTTCCAAAAATAGATACTTGTTGTCCTCTACACTGTCTTAGCTAAATGACCAGACTTTCTTCCAGGCGAGGAAATTCACCTTTAGTAGTTTTTTTCCGCACTCCAGCAGTTTGAGCAGCATTAATTTTCTCCTTGTGCTTTATTATGGTTGAGAGAGTACTCAGAGGAATCTTAAAGTCTTCTACAACATCACTTTCCTCTTTGCCTTCCTTAATTTTTTGGATTCACTTCTTCTTCTCAGCAATCGTCAAACATTTTGGGCTCATGACTAACATAATTTTAATCTGTATACCAACGAAAGAGTAGCAGTAACTAATAACTACACAAACCAGTTCGTGTGTCCAAACCAAATCAGAAGTGTGTGTCAACTAATTAATCATAACCAAAACAATTGGTTCGTTGATATTCCCGCCTGTTTTTCTCTGCAACATTGAATTGTCGACTGCTGGACGCCGATGAGTTCGAATCGACGCGTCGTTGTATAGCAATGATTTTTTTTCCATCGAATTGACAAGTGCGTAAAAATGTATTGATTTGGTTCGAAATATAAAGAGATTTTATAGGAAACTTGTGATAACTTTGGATTCTAGAGAGTTCGAATTATCGCAGGTTTACAATGACGTTTACATAAACAAGACATGTATTAGATATATAGAATAGAAGTCATAGAAGTCGCCAATAAAACCAAAAATATGCTTAGAGTAGAGGAGATGAATACCTATATTAGAAGATATCCGGCAAAATTAAAATAGATCACATAAGGAAAGAAAACATTAGAACAAACTGTAGAAAAATGCAACAAGACAGACTTCTGAGAATTGCGCTAATGAAAAAATCAGTTGAAGAGCACATGCACGGAGTGTTGCTAAAGATATAATAGTTTGTAGTACACCTTTCAATAAAAATATTATAACGATGAGTAGTTACCTACTACTAGGGCAAAATATGTAAAACAGGTAGAACAAAAAAAAAACAGGAAGAAGATGAATCAATGTCAAAATTGTATAAATTTAACGAATCCTACTACAAAAGAAAAGAAAATATGGAACATGACTTTTATGGAATAATAATTTTAAAGAATATTTAAAAATTATAAACACAAAACATGTTCTAAAAGAACAACACATAGAAAGAAGAGAAGATAGATAAATAATAAAGAAATGTATAAACGCAGACTAAAATAGATAAGGATTAGTTTTTATTTTGTAATTATGTGATACAGAATTGTAATTTTAACCACCACATTTTTAAAATTTAAAACAAAACACAAAAACGACTACTTATAATAGAAGAAATAACAATGATCAAGAGAAAAAAAATCACAAATCAGCCATGCTTCACTTGATATAAAAAGATCTCAGGAGCTTCAAATAGATAACAACATAAACATATATTCGTTCAGCAACAACCAAATTAGAAGAAAACTCAGAGAAACAAAAGAATACGATCTCAAATACAAATGCTTAGTTAGAGATTGAAAGATCACAAACAAACCACGAACGCTGCATACAAGCAGACCAAAAAAAAAACAAAAAAATTAAAAAAAAAATAACATCTTTTGATACTGAACAAATTAACGTTAAAAAAATATCTAAAGAAATTATTCTCAGACCTAAAAGCAGAACAAAAACTCAATAATTCCACAACAGACCCGGACATCCATTTAGATAAAGTTTAGGTAGAAATACTAAGGCACAAAGATGAAAAATATTCTGATTCAGATGAAGGCAATCAGTGATCATCAAAGACTTTCAAAAATATTCTATTTATTAAATGTTACTAAAACTATTTTTTAAAATCATACGTTGGAGTTTATATATTCGCAATCTGCAAAGAACAACCAGTGTTACAACACGATTTCGTTTTTGAAAGAATTATACATAAGAGATGCCCTATTAAGTATAGCTACACGTGCTTTTCCATATCTTCTTCTTCGCGTGCCATATCAGAACTATCCGACGTTGGCGATCACCATTGCGAAGGCTTCTCGATCTTCTGCAATATGAAATAATTGTCCTGCATTTAGTATCTGTGTCCATTCACGAATGTTTTTTTCCATATATGGATATGAATTGTAGATTTTAGTGTTTCTTTGTTTGACTGATTATCAAAAGTCACTTGAAAAAGTTCAATGAAAAAATATGACATTCTGTGAGATGTGAAGGTGACAGCAAAAACCGACCATTGTCAAAAATTTATTTATAATGGAATCAGTAAACTCCCGTTGAAGTTGACCTTGAGAAAAAAGAGAAGGTGAAAATTAAGGGAACGTTAAGATACTTAAAAACATATAATTAAAAATATAAAAAATATAAATTATAATTAAAATATAATTAAAGTAAGATATTGTTCCTTACCACTTCCACTCCCCTGGACGTACCGTCTAACGCACCAACAAATGCTTAGCAAATCAGCACACTGAACTTTAAAAGTATTAGTGCTTATCTGAAATAATTAAATGTTTTATCAAATAAATAAAACAAGGATTTTCAACAAGTGATAAGAGATAGATTATGTTCGATATTATAGAATTCGCCAAAATAAACAGTACCTAAAACGGATATTGTATTTATTGGTTATTTTTGTTTATGAATGACATGTCTAAAATGCCTTTTATGTCATTGCTGTACTTTATAACAATTTTAGAGTGGTTGCTACAGTTACTGAAAATAGGTTATTAACTTGGTCGTGGTTTTCCACTATTTGCATGAAGATATACTTTAATTAACATGCCTAAATGGTTAAATGTACACGTACACATGCAGTGGTGTCAGCTGTCAGATAAGCATGAGAATGTTACTCGTAAACTATATGGGTAGTCCATGAGAAATTATTCTCTGTTCAACAAATTCGTGTATTGGTTGTTCTTAGACACTTCTTTCTGTTGTAAAACATTTGTGACGTATTCTTCTGTTTAAAGGTCGATTCAGACACATCAGTCACGTCTCGTCACAGTCCTGGCGCCGAACCGAACAATCCGTCATACAAAATATTCTTTAATAGAAATATGGCGTCGGCATTCACATTCATTAGTTGACGAACAGTTTGCCAGCTGTCAGATAGTTGATAGTTCTGTGACCAAACAGGACCGGTTCGGCGCCGAGACTGTGACGGGACTGATGTGTCTAAATCGACCTTAAGGTAGTTCGAGAATTATTATAAATCTGACTGTAGCCAGGATTGTATTAGCCAAATGTGCACTTGTTTTAAAATTTAAATTAACGAATTTTAATAAAATTTGGATTAAGAAACAAAACTTAGTTTATTTAAACATAAATTGTCATTTTAATTTTAAATACACAGAGAATATGAACAATAATGTTTTTTATATTTTTAAAGCTGTAGGATCAGACAAACATTATACAAAATTCTTAAAATTTATGCATGACCAAAGAATAAAATGGTTAACCACTATATTTAACCAAATCTATATAACTGACCAAATTCTAAATAAAATAAAATACTTAATGAGTAATTTAGTTAGGACCTTTTTAAAAGCAAAACCTATATGATAAGGTTTTAATCAACATAAAATTGTACATACAGGGTGGTGAATCGGCAAACGGGCCATAGGAAACTCAATGATAAATTCTAAATTGTTGAATTCCTGCTTCCCTAATTATTTTACACTGAAAGTCATGGGAAACTATTTGTAGAGGACTCAAATATGTATCGAAAACAACTGTTAAAATTATTCTACGACTTAAACGTATTCCAAAATTTTGCTAAAATATAATACATTTTTCTTTGAAAAAATGTGTATTACGTGTTGCGTTTTGTCATATTATTGTTTCTGATATTTGATAATATTTAAATTAATTATATTATATTTATCTATGATCTAAATGACCAA